AAGGGAAAATGTGGGATCCTTTGTTAAAAAGTAATAAGAGGGGCTGGCCCTGTGGCTGAGTGGTTAAGTTCTCGCGCTCCGCTGCAGGCGGCCCAGTGTTTCGTTGGTTCGAATCCTGGGCGCGGACATGGCACTGCTCATCAGGCCACGCTGAGGCAGGGTCCCACATGCCACAACTAGAAGGACCCACAACGAAGAATATACAACTACGTACCGGGGGGCTTTGGGGAGAAAAAGGAAAAAAATAAAATCTTTAAAAAAAAAAAGGTAATAAGAAATTTCAAGACAGTGACAGCAGAGCATTAAACCAAGCAAAGGCCCTTGTGATTGTCCAGGTCGCATACCCATCGGGCCGGGCCTGGCTCCTCCCTACAGAGGCAGCCGGCAGTGGCATCAGAAAACACTGAGGGGACCGGACTCTGCTGAGGAGAGCAATGGGGACAGCCTGAGCAAGGAACCCAAAGCTCTGAGATCTAGTTAGTCCCAGCCGTCCCTCAAGCTCTCTGAGCCTCAGTTTCCTCATCTGTAAAGTGACGTGCTGGGCAGGATGACCACCGCTGTTCTTTTAAAGCTGGGCAGTTTAGGCTTCAGTGCCGAGGCCACAGGGAGCATACTGGGACGGGGCGGCAGCTGCGGAAGGCTGGCACTCAGGGGACAGTGGGGAACCCAGGGCCCCTCCAGCCTCCCAAGGACATGAGCTTGGTTGTGTCTCCAGATGTGGCCCCACATATCTGGAGGTCACCTGTGTGACACCTGCACCTGAATGAACACAGGTGAGTCGCATGCGACAACCTGTACCGGTTAACCATACACACATACATTTGCAACAACCAAGACAGAGGCCACAAAATCCAGGGGTGGAAGCTCTTCGTTTCGCTTCCTGGGAGAACCCCTCGAGGCCCTGCAATCAGGAAGGGGAGTAGGAACGTTAGAAAAAAATTAATGCAGAACTTAATGGACCGCAACTGCCAGGTCCCTTCAGTGCTCCAGTGGGAGGGCCAACGTCCCACAGAGCACCTGACTGGAAGAGAAGTACCACAGAGCCAAGGCCACCTGGTTGGACCCCACCTCTGCCACCTACCAGCTGAGCAGCCTGGGGCAAGCAACTTAACCTGAGTCTCGGTGTTCTCCTCTGGATAAATGGAGTAATAATGCACCCGTGAGCCTGCTGGGAAGACCAGAGGAGATGGCCTATGTTAAGTGCCAGTCCATGGTGCTAAGCAGAGAGCAGCTGTAAGAATGGGAGCCAACACTTGCAGAGTGCCATCTACTGCTGGGATGACCCACATTAAATTGCCAACATTCAACACTTGTTTACCTACAAAAATGGCAATGTAATAAAGTTCTACTTAATATGCGCCAGGCACTGCTTTTCCTTCTATTTATTCATTTAATCCTATCAACAACCCCAAGAGGTAGGTGCTATTATTCTCATTTTAAAGATGAGAAAACTGAGGCACAGAGAGGTGAACACCCTTGCCCGAAGCCACACAGCTGGTAAAAGGAGAAGCTGGGACTGGAACAAGACAATCTGGCTCCAAAGATTAATAACTGAGGTTCCAAATGATGACCCCCAAATCATCAAGATAAGTTTAATTATGTTCTGTAGCCTCAGTTTGAGAAGTCAGAGAAGTGTGAAATCCATTTTACAAAGGCCTCCTCCACGCAAACTAGTTAAAATAAAAAAAAAAAAAAAAGACTGGCTCTGAAATTCAGCTAACTGGAAAAATCCGCTAGCGAGCCACCCCTTATTCCCACTGATGGCAAATACCTGAGGCTTTGTTGGGGGCTTATGGCGTTGCTCAACTTGATCTGCCCTTCCTAACACAATCTAGACCCAGGGACATTCTCCAAACCCCATTATGATAATCTGTATTGTTGTGCCATTGTGAATCCACGGGAATAAGACAGATCTTCAGAGAGATATCTAGGCTGTAACCAAGGCAAAGTGCCCCCTGATGGATGCACACCTGATGTGGAGTCCTTGAGACAAGTTGTCTGGGGACTGTGTTTTGAAGGTGGCTCTGAATTATACCAACAGTCATATGAACATGGCTCTGACTGCGCCCCTTAAATGAGGGTTAGTGAATGGATGGATTGTTGGTGTAGTGTGAGCCCAGGAAGAGGCTGGGGAAGCGGCATTATGATGGACCGGGCCAGCAGGATTCAGGAGCAGCAAATTCTGGCTGAGGGTCAGAGGTCATGCTGTTCGACAGCCTCAACCTGAGGGTGGGGCTCTCTGAGCACATGAAAAGCTGTTCCCGAACCAGAAGCGTCTCTGAAATCAACCGCGGAGAAGATAAAGCAGCTCCTGCAATATATAATTTCCTGCAATTTCTGCCTTTTCACCCTATCCTTTAAAAAAACATATTAAGTTCTTCTAAAACAGCAGGATTGCCTCAATTTGCATCTCTCCGCATGTTAATCAGGCTGCTTGGGAGACCACAGTGAACAGTCTTTCAATCCAGGGGGGCCTGGCCCACTCTAGCACATAGCTCTCCCTGACTCAGAAGAGGGCTGTGGAGGTCAGAGGTCAGGTCCGGAGGTCAGCAGGTGGGCTGAAGGCCAGGAGAGGGTGGCAAGGCCCAGGAGGGGAGAATGGAAGGCTGCTCTGGTTTGGGTCTTGCTAGCACCCCCCAGGGTTAGAACCAGAATAAGGAGAGTGAAAAATGTAAGGGGTGTCAAATATCTCAGTAATCAAAATAAAAATTTTAATGTGATATTTTGAAAAATCAAAATCAATGCAAAAATCCACGATAAATAAAATATCAAAAATTTAAATAAAGCCATTTTACAAATGAAGAAACTAAGGCGCAGAAAGGTCAAGTAACTTGTCCAGGGTCACAGAGCTGGTGAGCAATGGCACTTAGTCTGGATCCAGAGTCCAAGTTCTTAAACACTGCCCTGCTGCTCACAAGCCCACGTGGAGGTCAGGCTGGTTCTTCTCTGCCATCTTAATGACCGACTTCTTCAACAATCCACTCAGCTGTGCATCTGTTGATTTGGTCATTCAAGGCTGAAAACTCCAGTTGGCCATTTTCCCTCCCACTCATTAAGCCTGTGTGTCTAGGATACTAACCAAAATCCACCAACTAAAGTTCAAAAGAAAAATGGAGCCATTCGGCTACGAGGATGTTCACTGCAGTATTAATTATATTCTTTCCTCTAAGAGAATAGATTCAATAAACTATGGCCCATCCATACAACAGAGAAATAATATGCAGCTATTGGATACATGTTTTCCAAGAATATCTAATGACATGGGAAAATAAATCAGGACACCATATTCTACTAATTATAAGAAAAAACTCTATACACGTACACCCAGAAAAGAGGCTTGGAGGAAACGCATTAAAACGTCAACAGTGATTGTCTCTGGGTGATTTTTCTATTTTTTGCATTTCCAACTTGTCCACAATGAACATGTCATTGTTTTAGCATGAGGAAAAATATTTTTGTTTGGTTTGGTTTGAACGAAAGAAATGATTTCTAAGACCCAAAAACTATGAACTAATTTTTAAAAGAGTGATGTTTGCATGCTGGTCACTCACATGCTGGACACACAGCCGTGTAGCCACAACATGAGTCTTCACTAAACATCACCCTGCATCCCTTTGAGTCTCAGAAAACCTTTGCCACTTTCCCCCATTTCACTTTACCTCTATTCCCTGGACACTGGGCTCTCCCTGAAGCTTGTCTTTAGAACCATGAGAGCTCTGATTTCGTCAGTATTCAAGGCTGGTAATCTCCCGTTACAAGGTTCTGCACAATCTTGCCCCCACTCCCACCTACCCCCTCGCCTCTCTGACATCACTCACCACTCTTCCCCTGCCCCAGTGCCTTTGCATGGCCTGTTCTGTCTGCCTGGCCCCATCTTCCCCCAGATAGCTGCAAGGGCTCATTCTCTCGCCTGTATGTTTTTTGGCATATTATATAGTATTATCCACAAATTTTCCTCCAGGATAGTAAAGAGTGCTATGAAATGTTTGTTATAAAAAAGAGGCAATGGGTCTGACAGGCTTGAGAACCACCGCTGTACTGTGATTGCTGGTTGGCATTTCTGTCTCTCCCAGTAAATTGGAAACTCTGGGAGGGCAAGGACTGAGTCAAAGCATATTTGCTGCAATGAAATGAGTACACGAGCAGGCTGGGATATCTAAGGGGTGGGGGGCAGGTGCATCATGACGCTCAACTCCCTTGGCTTATGAGTGGTGAGGCACACTCTTGCCCGTGTGTGCGGGGACCTGACTGGGAGGCGGTGAGGATGTGCTCTCCTGAGCCAGGAAGTCCTGAATCCAGAGAGAGGCAGGTCTGGGTGCCTGGCAGGCCCAGGGGAAGCCAAGGGTTTGGAAAGAGGAGGGCAAGGAGCTCCCCTGGCCACGTTGGCAACACTCCTTGCCTCTCTCCAGAAGCCCAGCCACTTGCCATGCCTGCTAAAGGCTACTGGCCCCACAAAGACCACAAGGCCCACGGCTGCTCCACGGACAACAAGGCTCGTGGCTCCGTGGGTGCAGGAAAGACTTCCTGAGGATTAGCAGTCCAAGAACCCCAGCAATCTTAGGCCACTTCAACCTCTCTGCATCTATAAACCCAGGTCACTCACACCTCCCCAGCCCTGCAGTGAGAACCAAACAAACTGTAAACATGAGTCTCCTGAGCTATGAGGACTACGCAAATGTCAGTCAGTGTCACATGGAATAACAACAGTTTACTGCTGAGCAAAGTTAGATCTCTGGTGATTCCGAGGCCCTTCAGGAGCCTAGGCTCATCGCTGTCAACATTAAGCACCACTGAACAGTATTTTGGATCTTTCCAGTAAGCTGGAACTTTCTCGGTATTTAAAGTCTAGATGTGCGAGGCTTTTCTATACCCTCTCACAGCCTGCAGGTGACCCGCTGGAATCCACTGTCCCCCTTTGCCGCCCATGCCATCCCCACGGACAAAAGACGAGGGAGGTTTGTCTGCCTGCAGAAAGTATTCATTCGAGCAGGAAGCCCAGCCCTGGGGAAAAACCATCTCTCGGACTCCACCCTCTTCCTTTGATCCTCCCACCGAACGCCGGGCTGCAGCGACAGAAGCTGAGCCGTTCCGAGGTAATTATTTTAATTCAGCCAGATGCTGGGATTAGTCTCTTTTCCTCACAAGTATTCTAGGGAAAGTCAGAACTCAGCCAAAGAGGCCCCAAAAGAGGAGCTGACGATGGGGAGGAAGGGAGGGAGCCGTCCTCCCCCAGCGGCTTAACGGAAGCGGCCGCCCTCCCTGGGTGACGGAGGGGAGGGAGGAGGGGGGGAAGAGGAGGACGGAGGGGCCTGATAGTATTAAACGCCGGCTGTTTGCCAATCCCAGAAACCTAGACCAATCATAGCGCCCAGCACTGCCTAGAGCTTTAGGATTTCCACAGCACTTTCACTTACATTAGCTTATTTAATTATAAACTAGGGGGGAAGTCACCTGCTCAGCTGGAAGCTGGGAGGAAACCGAATTTAGGCTTCAAGGAACTCAGATTCAGCCTTCCCCCAGCACCCACGAGGAGCCACAGCACCGTCGCCTTCGTGATCTCCTTTAATCCTCACAGCAACCCTATCAGCCCCAACATACAGGTGGAGAAACTGAGGCTCAGGGAGCTTCAACAGGAGCTCTGTTCTACATGGCAGCTGCGTTCTTTCCCTTGTCTGAGTTCCAGCAGCATCCAGATCCTCAGCACACACGGGAGTTTTCATAATCATCTGCTACGCAACATTTGGTCTGTGCTTCCGATTCCGTCAGTCCCAGATTCGTGATAGATCCTCCGAGAGCACCTACTGTGCGCCGAGCCCTCTGCTGGGTGGGGACATCAGGGAGGTCTGCTCCTACTGTCAAGTTCCTCTCGACTCTCTGAGCTGAAGAGACGAGGAGAGAAACCAGACCGAGCAGCTGCGTAGGAGTTGATTTGATCACTGCTGTGCTGCCCTGTCCTGTCAATTCTGTGTCTAATTCTCCAACTGGAAGCCCCTGAAAGCAGAGTTTGGAAGGCCACAACCTCGTGGTTAAAGACCCTAGCTCAAGAACCAGACTGCCAGGGTTCAAAATCCCTTCTACTCAGTGGCTGTGTGCCCTTGGGCAGGTCACTTAACTTCTCTGTAAAATGAGGACCATAATATATCAGATATTATAGTATACCATACTACTAATACATCAGATAAATAAATCGATACATGTAAACCACTTAGCATAGTGTGTGGCTCAGAATAATTGCTCAATTAATATTGGCTACACCATGATACTTCTAGCCCAGCAGTTCTCAAAGTATGGCCCAGGAACCCTGGGGGTTCCAGGAGATCAAAGCTATTTTCATAGTAATGCTAATAAAACGTGGAGTTTTCTAGAGGTTACCTAACAGTGATATCACAACAGATTGTTTGTGGAAGCCGATATAAGAATCCAGCTCTCTTATGTGCAGCCAACATTAAAAAGAGTTACAACAATGTAAAGTAAGGCCTTCTTCTCACTAACAGACTTTTGTTCTGGAAAATATTTTTTCAGAAAAGACGTTAGGGACCAGTCCGGTGGCACAGCAGCTAAGTTTGCGTGTTCTGCTTTGGCAGCCTGGGGTTCACCGGTTGGGATGCCAGGTGTGGACCTAGGCTCCATTTGGCAAGCCATGCTGTGGCAGGCGTCCCACGTATAAAGTAGAGGAAGATGGGCACAGACATTAGTTCAGGGCCAGTCTTCCTCAGCAACAAAAGAGGAGGATTGGCGGTAGATGTTAGCTCAGGGCTAATTGTCCTCAAAACTTTAAAAATTTAAAAAAAAGATGTTATTTCTGTTAACATGTAATGGGTTAAACTATTGCTATTTTTAAATATAATACATAATTTGAATTTTTTTCTCAGTTTTAATTTCTAATATAGCAAATACTGATAGCTAATGGCTGCAATAGTTGTACTGACTTCCCAGGAAGGTCAGAAAATCTTGTTTCTCCTCATCCCTCCCTCCACCTGAGCTGGACTCAGCCCCATGGGAAACTGGGTTCCCAGGTTACCCCAGGCTTCGTCTCGTGCTCACACTCTGTCACTGCCTCCTCCTCTTCTCCCCAGGACCCACCATGTCCCACCCATGGCTCCTAATTAACCTAAGAGGCATGCAAACCTGGGTGGTTTGGGGGAATGAGCCCACGGTTTTAGAATCAGGCTGACCTTATCGCAGACTCCAGCTCCCCACACACACACATACCCCCAACCACACTCTCTCAGCCCCATGCAGGGTGTCACCTTACTCCAGAGCTAAAAGTGAAAAATGACAACTAAATGCCAAGCGCCCAGGCTCCAAGACTGAAAAGGCCCTGCTGCTGCCAGTGTTGGTGCCAAGTCTCGGCTCAAGGACACGTGAGCGGTGGCCGTGATGTGAGTAGAAGGAGCCCTGGCATGGGAGCCAGGGGACCAGGGCTCCCGGCCTAGCTCTGCTGACTGTGGGTGAGTTCCTTCCCCTCTCTGGGCCTCAGTCTGCTCAGCTGTACAAAGGGAAGGCGCCATCTAGCTCTGATGTTATAGAATTCTATGACAGCCACGTCAGACTGAGGAGCCCTTCTTCCCCCACCTCCCTCCAAGGGCAACACATGGTCCTGGGGTCACAGGGAGGCCAGCCTGCCCACATCACTGCTCATCCCCCCCACCCCACCAAGTCCTGTCCTAGAGTCCCTCTGCCACTCACCCTACAGTTGCTGAGCTCCTCAGCGGACAGGATGATGGTGCCACATTTCTTCCCTGGGACACCACTGGGAGAGGAGAAGATGGAAGAGTGGAGAGTCAGACAAAGACAGAGACAAGAGCCTGCACACTCCCGGGCTCAGGCCCTCCTCATCCTCCCCTCACCCCACCATCCTGCAGATCTGCCCAAAGCCCCTGAGAAGACAGAGTCTCCTGAAATACTCGTGGCAGTGTGGCCTAATGCACTGCTTCCTGGGCCAGGCCCCAGGCCTGCAGCCGCCCCGCCCCCTGCTCCCGAGAGCCCGCCAGGAGGGGCAGTGTCTCCAGTGAAAGTCCTCGAATCGGAAAAGCGTCCAGACTCACCCGGAGGCTTCCGCACCAGTGGTTCTCAAACTTTCCATCCAAAGACCACTTCTGTGGGCAAAAGACCTCATGGGCTAGCCACCCCACCCTGCTCCCAGCTGACCCCCAGAGTCCCAGAACATTCCAGCTCTGAGCTGCTCTGATTCATTGTGGGAGGGAGAGCAGCAAGAGGGAGCAAGGCAGGAGGGCTGGTGTCCTCTTGGTGGCAGCCCACCTAGGCTCTCTCCATGGCCACCTCCCCTTGAACTCCTTGGCTGGGGTCTCTCTGGGGAAGAGAGAGCCCGGCCAACCAGGGGGCTCCTCAATGATGTGGGCAACCAGGACATGAGGTCGGCCCACCCAGAGAATCCCCTCTGGGGCTCCACCCAGGGGATCTACACCTCTTCCCTTGGTCAGGAGGGACTCCTCCACAGACACCAGCCCATCCCACTCTGATGTTTTGGACTAACCTGGGGGGGTCCCAGTGCAGCCAGGGCCCACTGGGAGGGAGAAGAAAATGTCAGGTTGTCCAGCAGCTGTGTGACTTTGGGATCATTACTGCACCTCTCTGAGCCTCAGTTTCCTCACCCATAAAATGGGTGTGATTGCAGTACCCATTTTACTAACTAATATGCACACTCAGTGCCTGGCACAGAGAAGGCTCTCAAGGAGCATCGTTTCCCTCCCTGCCCCTTTTGCTTCACAATTGTGCAAAGCTGATAAAATCCGGCCCCACCTCAAGCCAGCCTTGGGGCCACCAGCATACTGTCTGTGGAACACACTTTGAGAACCACTGATGGAGCTCTCCCCAGTGCCAGCTCTTGGAGGGAGAGGCTCCCAAACAGAGGAGGCAGGGGAGCCGGCCCCCGGGGCTGATGAGACAGCCCAGATCTCTCCAAATCAGGTGAGCAGAGCAGGGGCTACATCTGGAGGGTCCCCTGCCAGCTTGTCCCCCTAGAGTTGGGCTGCTGAGCTGAGTACCCCAAAGGCCCTCCCACCCCGGTCTGGCCCTCCCTGGTAGTAAAGACACGAGATGTTGACCGGGGAGATAGAATCCTCACTCCAGCCTCCTCCGCCCAATGTTTCTCCATCTGTTCCTCTCTTTGCCTCGGAGCCCCTCTTCTATTTCTGATCTTTCCTTCCCTCCTCTCCAGCCCCAACCTGCTCGGTCTTCTTTTCTCCCTCCCTCCCTCCCTCTGATCTTTCTCGCCCTCCCTCACGCTTCTCTCCCTGACTTCTGCTCCCTCTCCCACTGCTGCTTATCTACTCCCCTTGTAAATTAGCATCCACACCCTTCCTGGGCTGTGAGCATCCCTGGGTCCCCTGGGGGCCCCATCCCACATCTAGCTTGTCTGGTGGCCAGTCCAGCTACTGGGACCCTGACTCCTGGGAGCCCTCAGCAAAGGCCAGTGGAGCTCCGCTTACCCAGCCAAAATGCTCCTCTGCGGGGGGCGCTTCCAGACTGGTCCCCCAAGCAGATGCTCTCTCCCCTGTCCCCACCAGGGTGAGTCCAACCAGGAGAGAAGGAGAGGGAAAGAGTGGGGAGGGTCTAGGTTGCCCATGTTTGCATGAGGCCAGCCAAAAGCAGGTGACCAGGGTGGGGTCTGGGGGAGTGAGGCTGGCCCACTGCAGCTGGTGAGCAAATGCAAAAAGTGAGGATTTAGCTGAATTTACTCTGTGAGGAGGAGGCCAACATCCAGCAGTGGAAGCAGCTGGGGGATGGGGGATGAGGGTGGAAAGAGAGAGAGAGAGAAGGGTGGGAAATGGAAGAAAACAGGCCAGGGAGAGAGGAAGGGGATGGGGAGAGCTCAGCCCCTGCTGATTCCTGGAAAGGACCCCTACCTCGAAGTCCCACTTTGCTCCCCAAAGTCCCATGAGCCACTGGGGCTGGGGATGCTCAAGCTCTAGCCTGGATGGGGGAGGGGCCCGCTACAGAGTGGCCCAAAGTGCCTGGGTCCTTGAGGAGGGACCCAGGACCCTCTAGCTCCCCCTGACCAGGGCTGAATGCAGTGGCGGGAGCAGGGACTGGCCCCAGACTCTGAGGATCCCTCTGCACAGCTGGCTGGATGTCTGACGGCTCCAGGGCCAGAGATGTCTGCTGACCTACCCGTTGGAGACAGCTGGCATGGGTTTGCCTGTCCTGGAATTCAGGCTGAATGCTCCTATCCTGTGGAGGGAGAGGGAGAGAGAGAGCATGCCATGAGCGGAGTACCTCTGTCCTGAGGGACCAGAGCACTTGGCATCCAGATTCTGAGAGATAGGTTTCTATTCTGGATCAAGTATCCACATAGGACTGGAAGCCACAGGCCAGGGGAGGGAGGGGTCTCCTTCCCAAACCTTTTTATGAAGCCCTGAGCAAGGTACGCTACTTCAGTGGGTCTCAAAATGTGGTCCCTGAACCAGTAGCGTCAGCATCCCCTAGGAATGTGTTAGAAATGTAAATTCACAGGCCCCAGCCTGGACCTAGTGGATCAGAAACTGGGGGTGGAGCCCAGCAGTTCTCCGCTTTACCATCAGCCTCCAGGTGATGCCGATGCCCGCTCTACTTTGAGAACCGCTGCTCTACTGGGAGCCTCAGTGTGGGCTGCAAAATGGGGGGACTGCTGAGAGAATCACATGAGATCACAGAAGCAAAACAGTGTCCGGCCCAGAACAGATGTCCAGCCAAAGGGAGCTCTTCGTAGGTCCAGCCAGGGACACAACTAGACTTAGACACAGGAAACCTTCGGTGGGGGAAAGAGGTCCCCCTCCTTCACCAACACCCAAACTCTCCAAGATCCTACTTGCCCTTTAAGCTCAGCTCACTAGCCACCTCCTACCTGACGTCTTCCTCAGTCCCCCCAGAAGGTGTGCCCCTCCACCAAAGGTGGGCCAGGCAATAGCAGGCAGAAGGCAGACCCAAGGATGCATGGGCTTTTGACCAGGCAGCTGGGAGCTGAGAGAGGCAGACACACGCTCCCTCCAGAACCCCAAATTCTATAAGCCTCAGAGCCCCCCTCTAACCTGGGTTTGCTCCCCATTCTCGATAAATGATAGGAATTATTATTTTCTGTGGACCCGGAGGAGGAGGTCTTTTGGGGGCAGAGAGGCCTTTCTGGGGGCCCTGAAGTTACTGTACAGTTACTGGGGGTCAGACACAAAAGCCTGGGAGAGACCCCCCGCCCAACAATAACACATTCTG